ATTATTAAATTTAACTTAGGATATAATTATAAATTAAAAATAAAAAAAAATAAAAAAAATAAAAAATAAAAAAAAATAAAATATTATTAAATTATTATTATTATAATAAAAAAAAGGAAAAAGGTTTGAAAAAAAAAAGAGAAAGGAAGAAAACTGCAGCCGCCTCAATAGTAATAATAGTAAAATAATAATAATAAAGAAAGAGAGAAAGAAGAGAGAGAAAAGAATAAAAAAATGTGTGGGATCCACTGAATTTTTATAAAAACTCACATGTTCCTTCATTTCTTCATTCCTTCTTTCGTGCGTGAGCTGAGGCAGAGAGAGCATCTGTGAGTCAAGTTCACCGGTGCTGGGTTTTAAGGTAAAAGTTTTTAATAGGATATTTAGGGTGTGATTTTAAGCTTTTTAAGACTAAGTAAGTGTTCTAAAATTTTTTCGTAGTCATCTTTTTTCTTTGGTTTCTGAGTTTGTAGTGGTAGAAAATTTAAAATCTGGAAGAGGGATGAATTTATGTTGAATAAATATGATTTTTGAGGTTGTCAGTAGTATAATAAATGTTATAGAGTATAAATTTGTTAATGATCTTTGAATTTATGGCTTATGGATCAAATTCTAAACTAGATCTGAAAATATATGTTGATTTATTGAGGTTTAGATGATTATTTGGGATGAGAAATGAATTATTATGGCTATAGAATTATGATTCTAAGCTAGAGACTCAATTTTAAATTTTTGAGTATTTTAGGTGCGAATTTATAAAATAAAAAGAAAATTTTGATAATAGAAATTAGTTTAGAAGTTGATTTTTAGATTATTAATGTTTATTGATAATTAAAAGAGGAGTTAAAAATTATACTTAATAGTATTAACTATAGATTTGTATTAAGATTGAGATTAGGAATTATGTTATATTTTTAATTCTATTATTAGAATTATTTTATTAGTTTCAAAAATTGAAACTAATATTTATAAATAATATGTTATTTGTAGATTGTATTACTGGTGAAGATTGTGGTGAGAGAGAAATTTTAAGGAATAATTTATTGAAAAAGCCACAAGGTAACCATGCTTTTAATTTATGATTAGTGTTACTTCATGTTAATTGGGTGATTATTGAGAAAATTATGAATTTTGTAATATTGTATAATTGTGCAATATTATTATGAATTTGTTTGATTATTGTGGGAGGTGTTGGGAGACTTGCTATTATTGTTGTATTTATGTGCCATGTGGTACGCCCCTATTGGAGTTCAATAGGTGGCTTGTAAGGGCTCGGGCTAATCTACCTTTGGCTGGGTAATTTAGCACCGAGTGAGGGCTACGGCTCGAGGTTAATGGAGGGATATAAGGATGGTTGTTTGTGTATATTATAATATTTTTTATATTTGTTAGAATTATATTATTTTTAATTCTCACTTAGTAAGCACACACTTAACTGTTTGTATACACTATCATAAATTGGCTTTGGTTACTGGGACTTTTGAGTCTTATTATGTGGTTAACAATTTTCAGGAGAAGAGCCACGAGTGACACGTGGAGGAGTCCCAGAGGCTTAGTGGTATAGATCCACTGTCTCTTTTGGGTATTTAATTTATAATTTATAATGTGTTATATTGCCAATATTAAGGCTTTTTGTTTATTATCAATTATATGAATATATAAATGTAATCATGCCTTTCAAACTATTTCTATTTTTGGTACAATTTGGATGACTGTAATTTTAATATTTAGTTTACTTTGGATTGGTTAAAATGGCATGATTATAAGGCCAAATAACTGGCTTGTGTTGAAAATTGACTAAATTGCTTATTTTACTTGTTGGGAGTATAAGGATGGATAAATGTGATTTGGTTTACTTGTTGGGAGTATAAGGATGGACAAATGTGATTTAGCCTAATGGCATGTGGGAGGTAAAAATTTATCTGAAATGTTATAGTGTGTGAGTTGAAGCCAATTATAAAATATTTTATATCGAAATTATTGATATAAAAATGTGTTGGGTGGCTGTAACCCAACTATGGTTGAGTTAAATTATTTAAAAAAAAAATTTTGGTGTGTTACATCACTGGCTATGGCGTGTTGGTTTTTAGTTGCAGCAAACAACCTTTGTGCTACCAGCTATGGTGAATCTTCAGAAAGCCATAATTGCTTTCTCAAAAAATGACCTTTTTAACCCTATTTTTCAATGCTTTCAAACCTCCTTGATATCCTATACTTCCATATGATTTAATATGCTGATGTCTACATGTTTTCCTTAGCTTTGAAAGTTTTACTCTTTTATTTAAAATATATTAAAGGTATTATCGAGGAACACATAAGGCTGTTGTTAATCACGCACAGTGGGGATTTGAATTAGTCTATATGAGAGGGGGTGACACCCCAATATTTTTGACAATACTGGGTAATGAAATAAAAAAAGTTTATATATTCACTAATATAATGAAGGGTTAGAGTATAAATCTATCTCGGATGCTTTCAAAGAGGCATAATTGGTATCCCACCATTTTAAAAAGCATAGTGTTGCTTTTACTTTTTAAAAACCAAACAATATTGCCCTAAACTAACAGAAGTAGTTGACAGTGTTAATTTGATCAAGTGGGCCCACATTTTGATGCCACATGTGTAGGGAAATTTTTGACTACTGCCATGCAAGCTAGTGCTTCTTCACGACTTCACCTCTTTATCATCTCCTTCCTCACAGCCGTATGGTTTTGTCTTCCTCCCCTACCTCTCTATTGTTATCTTCACCTTCCTCCATTATCAATGGCAATTTGCTTGAGCTTCTTCTTACCCTTTCACTTGGCAAGATTAGATTCAGTAAGAATGTGAAATCCCTTGCTTTAAGAGTCAAAGATTGCGAGATTGCCTATGTTGACCCTTCATCAATGCCATCTTCAAATCTCTACTCTTCAAACTTGAAGATTGCGAGATTCCTTCCTTTCTCACTCTAACTCCAGATTCATCCTCACTCCCCTAGATCTGATGGTCAAACTTATTGAAACTCTAGTATTTATACAATTCTTTGATTGTGTTCACCAATAGTTCGGTCTGGTTTGAGTTTAAGAACTCTAACCAGCAATTTCTTCTTGCTAGGGTTTGTTCTTGTATATAATAACACGAATTAGAATCACTATAATCATTAAGCATAGGTGAGACTATAAATATTAGTTCTCATGTACATTATCATGTGTGGCACCCAAAACCCTATCTTCATTTCCTTAATCCCACTCCATGTCTTATTTCACCTATTGCATTATTCTGACTAATGGTAATATCCTTGTTACTTATTGTCAAGTTCTCATTTACTTGAAAACTTTTTTTTTTCATTCTTGATCCTAATGATATAGATTAATGTCGATATATTAATCTTAAATACTATGGATTATGTTTTTGCTGCAATGGTTTGGGTGTATTACTCAAACACTATGGGTTATGTTTTTGCTACAATGGTTTGGGTGTATTACTCAAACGCTATGTGTTATGTTTTTGCTACAATGGTTTAGTGTATGGCTTTACAAGTTTTAGCTACCTTGGTCCAGTACAAATCTCAAATGCTATAGGTTATGTTTCTCAAATCCAAAGGAGTATGGCTTTCTGAGGGGGTAGGAAGAAGAAGAAAGTGTCTTGTTCGTAGGTGTGATGACAAATCTAGGATGACAAAGAAGATCTACATGGCATAAGTCAAAAGTTCTCAAGCATGCCAAGTTAACCTAGTGGCTTAATAGTGAAAGTGTTTTGTTTTCACAAGTCAAGCCACGAGTTTGAATCCAAGCACTCTCAATCTCATGCACACAAAGGTTATCAAGCATGTGTGACATTAATATGTGGGACCCATATAAAGAAATCAACACTGTTCGTTATTTTTGTTAATTAACACTGTTATCAATTGTGTCTCTTTAAAAATGTTTAGAGCAGATTTATAATTTAGTCCTATAATAAAAGTTGACTGTTTGAATTAATTTCAGATGATCTATGTAAAACAGTATAACGTAGCTAAGAGTGAAGGTACTTGAGTAATATCAGTGCAAACACACTCGTCTCATCTTAAAATTGAAGAGCCAGGCTAACTTGTCCATGCAATCATGCATAATTATAGTTAAGGAGGGGGGGGGGGGAACTAAAGCTAGATTTAAATGATGGCTTAACTGGTAATATTCATGACACTTACTCACTGAGACCTGTAAGGCCACTTCTTGTGTGAGATATCACAAATGGTACGAAGTTTTAGGATTTTTCCACGAATTGGTTGGGGTGGTCGTCGTGAATGCTCTATCTTAGTTTACGTGAATTGCCAAGCTTGTTATTGATTAATTACTTTTATTAACATCAAATTTGATATGATTATAAGAGCCAAATGAATAATTTTTTTCTTGTAATAATCATAGTTTTAACTTAGACTCTAAGAGAATGTTTAGCACATGAAAACAATTTAAGAAAAGAAAAGACTAAGTGTGCTTAGAATAAAGATGAGATGCCATTTTCTTTTTAACAAACATTTTCACATCTGCATACTTGCATGATAGTTTTGAAAATTTAATTATTCTAGCAATTTTTTGTATCATTACCTGGCTTAATTCTCACAATTGCAATTCTTTTTGGAATGTAACGTCACGGCAAAAACTTACAGATGAAACAAGTCATCTAATTCATGAGCAGTTTGCATAAACATAGTAACATGAACGACGTCCCTCTGGACACTATCAACAGAAATGTTCAATTAATAGTGTTGATAATTTTTAAGACAAGAATGCAATACGAGGCTTGATTATGAAAACTGTTTCACAGAGATCCTAAACAAGCCTTGGGTATTGATAAAGATTTCAGTTATTTTAATTATGAAAAGGACTGAATTAGCATATAAACCAGTCAAATTATCAAGTTTCCAATTAACCTCTCTCAAGGCTATCGCATCTAGCATCGCTTCTCATGGGTTTTATTATTTAAAAAATAAACTAAATAAAAGAAAAGAAACGGTCTTCTGTTCTGTGTACAAATGGCGACGGAGGCGAGGAGGAGCTCCTCCACAACCACTCTGTCTCCCGTTTTCAAAGATCTTATGTCCTCCATTGCTCTACTGAGGCATTGCAACCCTCCATTTCCTTCTGCTCTCTCGCGCGCTTTGATATTTACTCGACTCAACTGTAATGTTAATATGTTCACGTATATTTGAATGCCTGCAGTTATGTCAATGCTCATTGACGATCGTTCAATTGTCGTTTCATTTCCGATGTTTCCATTTAGATTATGAATCAGGAACTCCTGTCTCCAATCTCATGCATTTTTGCCATAGTTTTGTTAACTTCGGAAATTCCGTGCATATTCACATTCTGGGTTCTGTGCGTTTCTGGATAAAATTCGACTAATCGTGAACCGCGCTCCCCTTGCTCGTTCGCTATAAAGAAAGAAATATCCCTGTTCACTCTGCAGAAAAGCTATCGGATTCTACCTCTATCCGTTTATAAAATCAAGTATTTTCTTTTGGCAATTAACACTGAATTCAGGTGCTTCTGCGTTTTTATCGTATAATTGATTGCATTTCTGACTTGGCACGTTGTGGTGAAGTGATAGAGCTTGGTGAGAGGGTGAGAGAGAGGGTGGGGGTTCTGTGGATTGTGATGTATTGTAGCGGGGAGAACAAACAATGGGGTTGTGGAAAAGCTGGGACAGTGAATTTGCAAAAAGTGAGTTCCATCTTGCGCGACATTGGGGACCCTTGCCTCTCTCAGTCGCCCGCAAAGGTTGTTATAATTGTAAGATTATCAAACCATGGACGTTACTGGGTTTATATGCTATTTTTCACATTCGCTGCAATTTTAACCTGTGAATATTCGTGTCATGATAGAATCAATTCTCAAGATCTATTATTTGACTGCATTTTGTTATTTTACGCAAAATTGGTTATCCATGCTGAATCAACTCAAGGACTCTCCAGGATTTGAAGCCAGGTTCTTTTGGGTCTTGTAGGAAATTGTTGTGTAAGATGAGACGGAGAATGTTCTTAAATAATCTTCCGTTGACTGATGTTATCATGTAAAAGTGGATTCATCAATTAATCAAGTGCTGGAATTGTAGTGCCAATTGACATTACCATGGTCTATGGAGAGGAATATTGAGGATTGCTTAGCTTCTTTCTTGCACCCCGTTTCATTAACTAATGCTATTGCAAATTGCAGATTCCTCTTTGCTTTGTATGCAAGCGTTGGTCATTAATTCTGCATTTTTATCTGATATTTAAAATCACTTGTTTAATCTGTGCGGAGTAGGTAAACGGAATGCTTAAGCCAGATAAGTGGCAGGCTACATTTGATAGTGAAGGAAAGGTTTTTGGTTTCCACAAGGCGCTCAAGTTGATAGTTTTAGGGGTATGTTGTTTACACAGCTTTTCTTCTTCTCTTGTGATTAAATTAAGGTATGGGTATTTTAGCCATGCCTAATAAGAGGTATCTGTAAACTTTGAGCATGTTATATGCTCAAAATTAGCTTGCTAAATCTTTAGTGTCATGAATGTTCTCATATTGTTTCTGACGTTTGCATCCATCTTTTCATCTATCAATTACACAAGCTGAATCTTTCATTTTTTGGATCATTCAACTAGGAACATCTGCTTTCATGTTCACACATTGTCTTCTGGATAAGCAGAGTCTTTTTCTGCATATCAATTTTAGATTATTCTAATAATTAATCGTTCATTATGCATAAAATTATATATCTGCACTTGAGTCACCAAACATGTGGATATTTGCCATTCTAAAGACATCCTTATGAAATTTTATCAAATGCAGAAAATATTAACACCTTTCTGATTAAGTTCAGTTGTTTTTCCCTGTGTCAGGGCATAGATCCATCAATAAGGCCTGAGGTTTGGGAGTTTTTACTAGGTTGCTATGCTCTGGGCAGTACTTCTGAGTATCGAAGAAGATTGAGAGAAGCTAGGAGGTTTGTGCAGTCCCTCTCTCTTTGCAGGATCTTAATCGTGTCTGTTTACCTCCCAGTGCATTCAACACATGTTCTTTAGCCAAAAAAGTTACAAATTTCTGAATATGTAAAAACTTGTGCCGTTTTTATGTTTCAGGAGCTACCACTATGACTTGCTGAATCAAATATTGCTCTCATACAAATGTATAATTACAGTCCAATGTTATGCTTGTGGCTGTATATCAATCCATGTATGGATTGCAATTTAAAATAACACCTATGGTACCCATGGGATGATTTCTTTTTTGAATATCTGATGGTGATAGAGGGTAAAAATTGCACGAGTACAGCTGCTACATTTTTCTGGTTTTCGTGATTATTCATGTCCATAATTAAAAGTATGATTTTTGAAAATTTTGCATTTAATGGCAACAGACACGATATGTTTCTGCTGGTGTAGTATCTTACCCAGGTTCTGGAGTATATCATTATACATGTAAATATAGACGTTCATGTGATGCAGGGAGCGTTATAGGGACCTGGTTACGCAATGCCAAATGATGCATGCAAGTGTTGGAACTGGCTCACTGGCCTATATTGTTGGATCCAAACTCATGGATATGAGGACATCATCCAGAGATGATTGGAAAATGAGAGCTCAAGTAGAAAGGTCAACTTTCAATGGTAATAATTTTGAAGGTGGAATATGTTGTGATGGGGATGATAAATATACAGATGCAAAAAATGCAAGGCAACAGGAAACCTCCAGTGATTGGGTTGATCTTGTCAGTTTGAGAGCTAGCATAGATGGTGCAGCACATGATTCGTCTAGTCCACAGAACTGCAATTCTGTGAGATTAGGTGAAGAAGCACATGAGTCATTTTTCATGACTAACAACTATTTTGATTTTCCTCCTTTACCGGTCACTAATTTGTTCGAGAAGAGTGAGGAAGACAACCTATCATGCATGGGACATGATATTAATTTTTCTATACAACATAATTCAAAATTTGAAGATGACAGAATGCATAGCTTCGAAATTAGTAACAATTTAGACCTAGTTATTGAGTCAAATGATCAACAACTGTTTCCAGCCTTTCATCCAGTTGACTCTGAAATTGGAATTGCTTCTCCTGATGAGCATGAACCAGAAGTAATGGTTAATAATCCAGTTAATGAAGCACAAATGGTAAATCAACTAAGAATTGTGGATGTTCCTCAACCAGCAATGATAAGAACTTCTACTTCTCAAGGAAGGCCTGCCAATGAAGATAGAGTTTCACAATGGCTTTGGACCTTGCATAGGATAGGTATCTTAATTAACGAGCATCTTCTCTTCCCCTGTAGCATGAAAGCGAGAATGTTTTGTTCTTTATATCACATGACTATATATATTTTCTGCAGTGAATCTTTATAGTTGAAAACATTGTTTTATTTCAGTTGTTGATGTTGTGAGGACAGATAGTCATCTTGAATTCTACGAGGACACAAGAAATTTAGCTAGAATGTCTGATATTCTTGCTGTCTATGCATGGGTTGATCCTGCTACTGGCTATTGTCAAGGTTATGTTTTTCCTGGGAGTTTGTTGGCTTTTTTCAGATTTTTTTTTTTTAAATTGTTTCAAAATCTCTTAATACTGACCCTAGATGCCAAATTTCATTTTAGGTATGAGTGATTTGCTGTCTCCTTTTGTTGTTCTCTTTGAGGACAATGCTGATGCATTTTGGTGCTTTGAGATGCTCATAAGGAGAATGGTATCTGCAAATTTGGCTATTATTTAGTAAAAATGCAGTTTTCTTTTTAGTGAGTGACTTATTTTCTTTGAAACTTGTAGCGAGAAAATTTTCAAATGGAAGGGCCAACTGGGGTGATGAGGCAGTTGCAGGCATTGTGGCATGTTCTTGAACTGACAGATAGAGAAATATTTACTCATCTGTCAAGAATTGGTGCTGAGAGCCTGCATTTTGCATTTCCTATGCTGCTAGTTCTCTTTCGGCGAGAGTTGTCTTTTAATGAGGCTCTTTCAATGTGGGAGGTTTGTGCTCCATGCTTCCAATATTTCCTCCCGCTTAAGTATCTTTTTTTGTTTTCTTTGAAAACATGATAGGACCAGCACCAATAACAGTCAAAAGGGAGATTAATAGCAGATAAGTGAAGAGAAATTCACCGAGTATCCTCTATTGCAAAGGGAAAATGCAGAGAATACAACCACTAACTAGCTTCTCACTCACTATCTGCTACCTCAAACATCAAACAAGAGCAAAGAAAATGAAAGATCTCTCACATCACACCACCTGGTTTTTGAGAGACCAGGCCCTCTCCACGAAGATGATACTACTGCCCTACCTCCCTCTATCCTAACCTGCCCCCTCTTTTACACCCTCTACTACCCTGACAGTGTCAGGTATTGTTATTTACTGTGCTTTTCCCATTTTTCCCTCGCTCACTCTGGTTCTGGGTCTTTCCTTTGGGCTTCCCTGTATAAGCACAGCCCCATTTGTTGGGAGGCCCAACAAAACGTCAATTAAATTCTAAATTTTTACATTTAATCTTAGACTGGTGAACTTCACTCCTAATTTAGGCTTATTTTTTTCTGTGCATATGCAAACATCACTATTTGCTTTGTATTAAAAAGAAAAAAGAAAAAGAAAATCACTTCTTGCTTTTGAGGGAGAATGGTTGATTACTTCTAGTACAATAAGTCAAGTAAAAGGGAAGTTCACCCACCCAGCTCTTATCAAGTTTTAAGTTTATTGTCTTGAAAAGCAAATCTATGACTTTTCAGTGTGATCAATTAGGCAATACTCTTTTAGGAAGATTTATACTCTTGGCTTTTGAGTTTACTGGTATAAAATCTTATAAGAATGTTGATTGTTATTCAGAAATGGATATATCTGGTGTTATACTCCCATTTGCTAATTGACTCCTATGATCCATGTTAGTTTGTTTTGTCAATGCACGGTCACTGTGTATTTAATGCAGATGATGTGGGCAGCTGATTTTGATGAATCCTTGGTACATGATTTAGAAGAGAAATGTCCGGAAGCTTTGGAGATAAAACTTCCTGAGAACTCGGGACATGAAATGAAAAGAGAACTTGCTAATACCAATGATGCTGTGAGGAGTAGTTCACAATCAAATAGTAGCGAAAATGATAGCAGTACAAAGGCTCGCCTGCAGTCAAATTATGGAAACACTGACCATTCTGTCTGTGATGTCAAACTGAAATTGCTGTCATCCCATACCTTTTGTGGCTTGACAAGGAGTTTCTGGTCAAGAAATGCTCAAATTGAAATGAGCATTATATCCGCCTTATCAAGGAAAGAAAATGACGAGCTGCCCATATTTTGTGTTGCGGCAATTCTTGTTATAAATAGGCAGAAGATTATTCGAGAAACTCACTCCTTTGATGATATGATAAAGGCAGGTGCATTCTATTGCATTTTAGATTTTAAATTCAACACTTAATTATTGATGTGATAATTATAATAATTTTACTATGAAATTATTTTTGCAATATTTATAGTTTCTGGTGATTGGGTACCTCACCTAGATTATGGTCTGATCTGGAAGTATGAAGCAGATAGTGTAATGATGGATTTGCTGGAAAATTCTTGTATTTTCCTCCTCTGTAAACAGAGAAAGGGAGGCAAAAAAAATGGCAGACTCTCCTGATTTTTGGTGAAAAGAAGATAAAAATAAAGAAAAGAGATAAAGATAACAAAGGTCCTCCAATAGCATAGAGATTCTCCACCCCGGTCAAGGCTTTCCTAGCTTCCCCTACAGCTATTGTGCACCCAATATCCCCCCCCCCCAAAAGCTCACCATTTCTGTCCATGTGATTCCCTGGTTAGTTACCTCCCATGCCTCCTTTGCCACCTCATTGTTAGTTACTAGCTATTTTCTTCCTGTTTCCCTTATTCCTTCTCTTGTCAACCAAAGCTCTTATGGGCCTAGTATAATCTCAGGCCCATGATTTCGCTTCCAAGCTGATAGCATCTGCTTGCAGGTTTTCATCTTCTACTCCATTATTAGTAAAATACCATGCACCTGAAAAAGCCATCTTATGGGTCCTCTCCAGAGAAAAGCATACCTCCTTCTCACATTTGCCCATGATAATAGTTCCTCACTTAATTCTTCTGACACCATACACTGAACCTCTATCACAGCTTTTCTTTGTTGGTCTTTGATCTCACTTGGAGTCTTAATCTTTCATGTTATGCGTTATGCGGAGATTTCATCAGCTTAATCTGTAGCACGGCTTTTCCACTTGTCTAAACCCTCACTTGCCACGAATTTGTTTAATACTTTATTAGAAAAATATAGATGAACAGCTGAAGGATTATTGGGCATTTTCTATCACATTGCTAGTTTACATACTGCAGATGTTCAATGATAAGATGCTGAAGATCAATGTCAAAAGTGCTATACAGATGGCAATCAAACTTCGAAAGAAATATTTATACAAGGTAGATGCTAAATTAGTGACATTCCATTATCAGCCAGTTATTAGAGAGGGCACTAATGGCTTTAGAAACATTTGTTTCCTGCCCCCCCCCCAAGGATGGTATCCTTGTGATGTGATATGTTTTTCATGATATGTGAGAAGTAATCACATGATATCGGTCCAGATTATCTAGCTCCGCTGAATTGTGATGCTTGTTTTCTTTAACATTCATCTAGACTGTTGATAAAGAAGTTTAAACATTCAAATATATTTAATATAGATCTATCATACGTGCGCTAAAGTTATTACACATTCGAATCACTTGCTTCTTTCCAATTTTCTTGATAAATTAGTAACAGAACAGTTCTATTCAAGTTTCTAACAATATTTTTCCTGTCCAAAGAGGTGTCCATATTTAGTGCCTAACTGCAACTTGGACAAGATGCCTCCAATAAGAGGATATTTGTGAGCAATCAAAAAAAAAAAAAAAAAGTTTTTGACAATATTTGACCATACTGCCTCTATTGCTAAGATTCCATGAAGACTAATGGACCATGAGTCCATGACAAATACAGATACAGGGTTCCTTTCTCATGGGAACTCTCTTGTATTAACAGCTTTTGGATTTTGGTGCTGAAACTGAAGTTCCATCTCTCTGACAGGTAATCAGGAGAAAGAGCCGTGTCGAACAGAAGGGCTGTGTAGCAAAGAAAGGGGACTAGCTTATTACCATTTCCAAGGATATTGTTGTATAACAAGCACTGAAATCCTCTGGGTATTTCTTGTTGGCGGTGTTGCCAATTTGGAGTACGCTGTTATAACGTTGTTATTCAACCTCGAGACTGGAAATTTTGTGGCAGAAGCCCTTTTTCTTTTGGAGGTTCAAGCAGTTGGGCCTCCATGATCTTGACTATGCCACTTTCACAAGGTAATTGCACTTTATCTCCTCTACATTTGTTTGGAAGCAGAATCATAATTAACTGATGCATGAGAAATATGAATTATATATCAGTAATTTGGTATCTCAGCTTTATAACTATATGTAAGAGGGTGATTATCTGCTCTATGATTTAGTGCGCATTACATGGAATGTGAAATTTAGGCTGAGACAATAACGGGAGCAATTGCTGAGTCTGTTCTTTGTGATGGACCGCATTGTATTGATGGAACAAATATATTTGATAAAATCATAAATTTTTACCACTCAATGACCACAGATAGATTTGTAAAGATATAGGAGTAGTTGGTTGTGCTCAAAATTCCACCCTGGGAGTCGAGTAATATGCGGGACTTCAACACCCTGGTGTGGGTGGGTCTGTTGGAATGAACACGAGTTACTTGTGTTATTGACAATGGGTGCCAACGTTTTGTTGTGACATTCTGGGATGCTTATTCACCCACTTCATGTCTTGTAACGGATTCATCATTTGCCCCCACTTTTTTTATTGATGTACCATGGCTTCTTGCCCTTGCTTCTTTGCGATAGGCCATAGCTTTTGGGTACAATTTTCAGTGATTGCTCAACACTATACATTATCTATCCATATGAGGATGCACTAGCTTCAGCAGGAGTGTTCATGACGTTTTAGATTTTTTTTTTTTCAATTTGGTTCTTAAATTATTCCTTAATATGCTTAAATAATTCTAATTAATATCATATCTTGTTTGTGATCAACTTAATGAGGATTCAGTGCAGTGTTATTTTTTTCATTACAATTTTCTCCTTAAGATTTTCTTATTTATTGCGTGAGGATATCGGTCTTGTAAGTAATGCATCCGTTTTCTAGTTAAAAAGATCATGATGAGGTTTTCGTTTCCCTTTTCGATTTTCTTGTTTATGCCATTGCTTATGGTGTATTCTTTCTCGTTTTCTTTTGAATCCAGTGGAAACATTGACAAGAGGAGATTTCAATTGCTCTGGTTTCACCCACATCTATTCAATTCGCGGTCTTGGATACTTGGCAGAGGTTATGCAAAACACTGACCCCCCCCCCCATCAACGTTTTGGCGTGCCTATGTTTCAGGAGAAAATCATGCACCAAATCTTAATTATTGCTTTGAAGATTCAGCTTAGGAAAAACATCGATACGCAGTGAGATTTTTTTTTTTTTTTTTTGGGTGGTGGATGCTATAGTTTGAGGAAATATGTACTTAAGCTTCGAGGCTTGCGGCTGTAGTTGTTCGGCAGAAGAGAGATTTAAAATGGTTTATACGTGCTGCAAGGAAAAGCTCCGAGTTGGTAATTTCCTGTACTAGTGCAACTTTCAGAGGACAAAAGACTTATTCATGTTATTCATGTATTATTCTTTTCCTAGTAAAAACACAAACAATTCGATTTTAGATGGCTGGGCTTGTTTACATCTTGTTAATCATAATTTTTAATTCTAGGAGCCCTTATTTGCATATCGACAGTTTCGGCGGATCTCTCCCTTGTTTCCTGTCAAAACATTGATATTTCCCATTCGATACATGGAGAGAGCAAAAGATCTCCGGAAATCTTCAAATCCAGCAGCAAATTCCTCAGTGATTTGTGAAGAGTCATCACCATACAGCAGCTGCTGATCAACCCCAAGGACAGCTTCGTGGGATAGGATTCTTTGGTAGTAAGATTCTGTGAAGGTAAAGTGAGAGCCAGATTGTGGGTTCAAGAACACCAGAGGGTCGTGCTGTCCCTTCTTTCGGGATGGGCACAGCTTTCTGAGTGTGTCCACAAAAGTGACGTTCATGGCAGGGTCCGGCTTTCCGGTGCCGTTGTAGTTGTACAGTCGATCCACGATGAAGCTGCAGTGGGTTCTTCCCATAGAGTGCGCTCCTGCGTTGATTTAAGCACAATGAATGAGAAAATAGTAGCGAGGGGGTTCAAGATTGGGAAGCGTTACCTAAGAGAGTGGTCATATCGAGTTCAGTTAAGCCCTTGGATTTGAAGTATTGTAAAGCATCCTGGTGGGAGATGGAGGGGGGAGGCAGGTCTACGGACGCAGCATCGGATTTGAAGGTATCCCTTCGTCCAGTGAAAACAGGATAAGCCGGCGCACCTGCCTGTTCAAGTTCACGTCAACAAGTTACCAGGAAGCTCGGGGGGAGCAGTCGGAATAGAAGATTGAGAAGGTGATACCAGTTTAAGAGCATCCCTGGTGGCGAGGTGGAGTATGTCAGCACAGGAGACTACCCCAGGGCATCGATCTTCTAAAACGGTTTTGATCTTGTCAATGATCACAAAGCCTGCAAGCCCCCTGTTTTGTGGGGCCTCCTTCTCGGAATCTGGTCCGTCCAGCAGAACGGATGCGTCACAACCCTAGAGTCCCATCACGAAGGACATTCGGTTAGTAAGCGACATGCAGTCATCAAAAGCGAAGGAGATGGATGACATACAGTGACGAAGCAGTCAGCGTAGAGCAGGCGGAGGAGCTTGGGGGTAACGGCTCTGTCGTGGTCCCAGAAAATCTTGACTTGATGCCTCACGTACTCTTCCGCGTATCGGCATGTATTATGGACCTTGTAGTAGTGCCACTCCAGCTTCGGTGGCGTTTCCGCCTCCACCACTGCAACGACCATCAAGAGCATTACAAGTGGCCCAGTGCTTTTCCCCATCCTGGATCACCTTCCAATGCCTCACCCTCACCCTCACCCTCTGGTGCGCTGCATATATAATCCACAGCCAAAGCACTGCCACCTCATATCTCACGACTCTCAACTGCGACTCCTCGCATTGCGGCACCCATGCAGCTGTTCACGTGTCTGCTTCCCCATGCACGACGTCCCTCCCATGTGCCTCCCCATCTTCACTGCTCTGACTCCCACGACCTCTTTCTCTTGTGAGATCCAATAAATTCATGCAATTCGAAAAAGTGTGCCTCCAATCCATCTCCGTGTATTTTAATTACTGCTACTGGCACGATCTTCACAGTCTCCTGCTTCGGATCTGCTTGGCCACACCGTCACTGGTCATTAATTAATGACCTTCCCATGATATCGAGGAAATCTTTATTTGGGACAGCCACATCATAGATTGACATTCTCCCGAGAGTCTCATGCTTGAATGGAAAGAAACGGGAGACAAGCCGTCAGCGTTTAGAATAATGGTTACAGTTGGACGCTCTCCCCTCTCCATTACATGCCAGGCAAGCTGTAGCTAATTTGTTGGTAGGGAAAGGGGCCAAGAAAATCTATCTCAAAGATATAGCTAATTTTAGGAATAGGTGCTAGTGGTGAAAAGATAATTTAGATGAGCTGAAGTCCCGCGATGTCATGTTGAGGATGAAGTGCTTAATTGAAGGTGAAGTATATATGGATGGAATACTGGCAACCAAGCCTATTAGAAGAAGCAAGGCGTCCGCTATCATTGGACTATGTTTTGGGGGGGGGGGGATCCGCATTGTCTTTCAATTAACCATGTGGGTTGGTGTTAAGTTTCAGGATTGAGTCCTTGTTTTAGGTCCAAGTCCTTAAGTTAATTTGCCTATTGGCTACCCCTCGTCCTTAGGTTCAGCTGGCTCAAGGTCGAGTCCTCTCACATCATGGAGAGAGTTTGATTCTTAGGTTAGTCGAATTGTTGGGGGAAGCATCTTGGCTCTAAGGTACCTAGGTAAACGCTTGAAGGTAATTGACCGCTTGGCCTACCTAACATTGATATCATCTAGGAGGAATGGAGATTTCACCTTACCTTGACTTGTGGGCGAGCTTGGCCCCCTTCCAAAAAAATTTTATCAAAAAAAAAAAATTGCCCATTGGCTTCTTCAAAAAGTCTACTTTCCAGAATTTTACCTCCACAAAGCTAATTTTAATACAAATATGATTATATGAATGATACTATACATCAAAGATCTTGAGAAGAGAGTTTTCTCTCATCCTTTGGACTCAAATTTCTTTTCCGAATTTAAGCCTCCCATTAAATTGTATATGTACAGGCCTATTCTTAAGTTATAACATTGAACTAATTAACTCGAGCCCATGTTACTGGAATTATTCGTTGTTGTGTTTGTTAACGACTAACGCTAATTGAATTACTTTTACTGATTTGTTAACGAAGCTGCACAAAATGGACAGGGGCTAGCCAGAAAATTTTATTAGAGAGGTCAAAATGACAAGACATATATGATAATTAAAGTAAAATTATATATATATATATATATATTATCAGTATAATATAAATATTTCAACGTTTGTATTTATATTTAATTTTATAAATATATAATAAAAATAAATGCATACCTTCATTCTTTAAATTTTGCTTATTGATTTTTCATGACATAAAAATAATTAATTATCATATTTATGATAATTTTTTTAGCAATTTCCTTCTTAATATAAACTATCATTAAATTAGTGAAAATTTTACCTTCCCCATTAACATTAAATAATTTAAATTTATTATTGAAATCTAAAGTTATATTCAATTTAAGAAGCTCTATTAGTTGCTTATTGAATTTATTATTTAATTCTTTCAATCGATAATTGTAATAAATAAATATATCAACACGGTAATTGTGCTCAACTATCACAATTTTTTTATGTCGATAAGATCTAATTATATCATAACAAAAACTATTTATATAATAAATTTAATAGCTTGATTATCATCAAAAAAAAGTAATTTGGTTTCTAGAAGAACATATATTAACAAAAACTTCTTAATTTTTGGATAAGTGATTTTATGATATATATCAACCATATAACATTCAATATATCTTGGAATTTTTGTTAGAATATTTGACAAAGTTTGTTGGTAATAATTCTTATAATTTTTTTATCAAATATAAAATAAAAGTAAAATTAAATAATATAAATACTTTAAAAGCAAGTGTAGTATTATCTTATTAAAAATAAGTAGATCTTATGACAAATATATTTTCAAACTATTGAAATAGTTAGACTTTACATATATAAAAGACATCATATATTTTTAAAATAAAAATTCTATCTAGCATCTTAAAATTTTTATAATGCACCAACTTATGAGTTTAAAAATATATAACCCCTACATTTTATCAAAAAAATTAAAAAATTAGGAGGGATCATGGCACTTACTGTCCTCCATCTCTACCCTTGAGAATGGAGATGCAGGAATAGAAACATTTGGTATTCCGATGCTTGGAATGAGACGTCCCAACCCAAGAACCAGAAAGTCCATATATCTCAGCAACATTCAAATGACAAACCGCCAAATTTGGAGTTCCCTGCATGAGACCCAAGCCAAACTGGGCAGAAAAAGAAACTATGATCCAACATTTTAACGATTCTGCAAGCAAACCTCGTTGGCAAAATATTACGTACTTAAAAAGGAAATTACGTATTTGTTTCCAAATAAACAGCTTCATATACCACAGGTGCCTTCAATCTTCAGTAATGATTAACTTGCTATAGAAATTAATATTCCTTAAAATTATCCATACCCAATCATTATACTGCGGTGTCCAATAATATTAAGTTAGAAAATAATTTGAAATTTTAGATAAAATTGAGAAATTGGAAATTTGGAATCGTTAAAAAAATGTAATATACTTGTTGGATTGGGCCAAACACAATACTAGCCCAATGTCTGGCCCGTCTTTTTTATTTTTTTCAACGTGACCCAACCTATCCCGTCTTAAAGTGATTGGATAGGACCGGGTCACTGGACATAAGAAGAACCGCGACATAAAACATGTAAATACCACTGTCGTTACTTCCCACTTAACCCACCTAATAGATAACTTTAACTGAAGGGATTAATCACAACCTAGAGTTTAATAATAACAATGATGATAATAAAGGTCAAGTATGAATTGGTATTCCAAAAATACTTGAAAAGAGAATTAATTTTGTAACAACGAGTAGTAGCGAAAAATAACTCAAAACGAGCAATTTCACTTAAGCTCAATTTTCAAGTCTAATTTGATCCAACATTCTTCTTAAATCTTATTTTTAATCTTTTAGAGGGCCAACAGGCTTAAATACTCATCATAACCCGACTACTAACTCATAATTTACTCTATTCAATTAATTAATCACCTCATTAATTAATTTAAAATCTTAAATAAATTTTGGGAAATTGCAAAACATGCATACAAAAAATAATTTATAAGTAAGAAATTAAATTGAAAATCATTTTATAAAATAAAATTTTCTTTAACAAGCAATGAAAGTAAAGTTACAATGTATCACAATCTCAAAATTCAGGAAGCAGTTAAAGTCGGCAATTGTATATAATCTGTGACTCAAATTTTGCCTTGTATTTTTTCTTCTCCTTAATTTCCTTTTTCTAAAGCAGAACCACACACCGAAGCCATAATCAACTCGGATATCCAACACAGGAAGAACCTTCAGCAAAATCAATCCAAAGAACAGTCTCTTTTTGACACCCACCAACCATTACCATCCACTTTCCTTTTCTTTGTTATAACAAATTTGAATGAAAATAAATGGAAAATCATGATCTTCACTGGTCCTGACGCTCTTCCTCTCCCCATCCAATACGCCTAGGAATGGCTGTTTACCTTGACTTTACACACCCACGTCTTTGTCATGGTTTGACTAGTGCCACAATATTGTGGTTCCGGCCAAACCCAATGCATTTCATACCAACACAAACTTTGAATTCAACTCCTTTGACTAGTTGTGGATTCAAGTCAATTCAAACCACTGCTTGACTGAAACATTATACTTATTCGTTTGGCCTTTCCTGAAGTTTTGAGAATTAGGTGCTGTAAAGTGTTTCAGTTGGGGTGGAATTTGGCTTCTTGACTTGTTCAAAGAGATGATAGAACTGATGAAAAGTCTTATTTCTGTCTTCTTTAATATGTATACTCTTGTAAATATGGAGAATGTGATGGTTCAGTTGCTTTAAAATCAGTACAGAGAACAGAGATGACGGCAACTCATATGGAAGTTGCGATCACTATACGTATGGTATTCTGCGTCTAACCAGATTTTGGGTCTTGCCAGGAACACGACCGTTAGTTCTTGAAAATTATTTGTTGCTCATCCACGATGTTGTTTCCTTGCAAGCATGTTCCGTACGTTATTCTCTTCAACTTCTATTCATGATCTTTGGCCAGACAACTATCAGTAATATTTGTTGATCAGAAATTATCAGTAATATATGTGTTGGTTTCTTTGCCAGATTCAAGATGGCCATGACCAACCCACTCGCATCTGCTTTCGTGATCATACTTATTATTTTCCCAGAAATCACTGCACTTGTAACCTCACCTGCACCAGGTGAACTTTTGTTCCTCTATTGTCTCTCCAATCTTGTAGAAGTTCAACTTGATAATCTACTGAAATAAAAACTAGGAGGATTGTTCATGAGCAATTATATATTTGGTGTTGAAATAATCAAAATAAACTAGAAGGAATCAGAACAACTGTGAGCATCCACCATAATAAGCTTCCCAATTTTCCTGGCTCATCAGGTAGCACCGCGTCCACAGCCATTGAATCAGGGCCAGATGATACCGTAAGAGCGGATCCTTTGAATAATTTCAAGAGATACAGAGGAGGATTCAACGTCACTAACAAGCATTATTGGAGTGTAAGTCTCTGTACCTCCACGTCCAATTTCCACACGTAAATTACATCATTGACGAGCACTTCTCCTTATGTTTTAAAATAGTCAGTGATATTTACAGGAGCGTGTGGATATGCGATTGGGTTGCTCTGCCTTGTGTGTGGACTGCTTTATGCAAGTTTTGTGGGGACAACCAAACTCTGCTGCAAAGCTGATGCAAGAAGGAAGACGAAGAGCAGATGCGCTTGTGATGATTTTTGGTTCATTCTCCTCGCTATATTGCTCACAATATTAGCCGCGTAAGTTGTGTTATGTAATGCCGTTCCTTCCTCGTGAAGAGGTCAGATCAGAGAAACATGTAAAACTTACTTGCAGGGCTGCGACTGGGATTGTTCTTGCTGGGAGTTCCAAGTTCTATTCTGAAGCAAGAGCTTCTGTTAATATCATAATAAGGACGGCGAATGAGGCCTCACAAACTCTTTACAACACAACGGGAGCTCTGAAAGACGTTCAAAGTAAATTGGAGGGATCCAGTGTGGGTGACCAGGCTTTTCATGTTCTTACCTCTACGACTCACAAACTCGATGCTGAATCTGCTCTTGTCGAAATGCAAGCTAGCAAGAATAGACACCGTATTCACAGGGGTCTGAAAATAGCGTAATACATCTGCTTCCCCTTCGCCCCTTCATCCCAAACTCTCGCTTTTGTTCTTCGCTCATGATGCATGGCTGTTTAGCATTTCCTACCACTCGACTGCATGATTGAGTTTTTCTATTATACACACACGTATATATACTCTGTAAATGCTTCAGAAAACTGGATAGCAAGTGCACACAGAATTTCCATATGAATCATATGACGAGCCGGCAATTCTTTGAATTGTAGGTTTATTATAACCACCGTGACTATAAGCTTCAACTCGGTAGCTGCAGCTTCTCTCTCAGGTATACTATCCATTAGCTCATTATACGAAGGCAGACTGGCAAATACTCCTAGTACCATTGGATCATCATTTTAAATTTCCGTCCTTGCTCTATATATGTATATACATTCAGTCCTTTCCGTTCACATACGATTTTGGAATAATATCATGACATTTTGATGCAGTTTGTGGAGTACTGAGATCACGACGTGCACTTTATTTGTAAGCGAGAGTGAGCCGAGCGATTTCATTAACGATGACTGTCAAATTGTGTGGAGATAAAGTTGTTAACGGTAACACACTCAAAAACCCTGCTTTGCGCAGCCTGATCGTGTTGTGCTGGTTGATGACAGTGATGTGCTGGCTACTGTTTGGAGTATATTTCTTCTTAGACAAGTAAAGCTAAATCTCCTTTATGCGTGAGGGTTTTCGTGATGATATGGTTAGAGTGAGTGAAAGTTGAATGCATGTTGCAGATTTTCAAAGGATGCTTGCACAGCTTTTGCCAAGTTCGAAGAGAATCCCTACAACAGCAGCCTGAGCTCCATCCTGCCTTGTGGCCGATTGCTGTCAGCCAAAACAGTCCTCTATGATGTTAGTGCCGGCATCTACAACTTTGTCAATCAGGTATCGCTCTTCCAAGACCTTGGGTTTTCTGAATCAATGTCATCATGCATCCTAATGTGTCACTGTTCAGGTGAATGCAAACATATCACTCCAGAGGGGAAGCACCGTTCACGTGTGCAACCCTTTCTCGGCACCGCCCCAGTATTCATACCAGCCAGAGAACTGCCCTGCCAATACTGTGCCAATAGCTGATATCCCCAAGGTAAGATATACCCACATGGCATTCCGTCCCTGTTACATGGACTCGTACTCTTTGCTGACATTGTTCCCCTCGCTGAATTGAAGGTACTGAGGATTTTTATGTTTAGCAAAGCAGAACTCACAAGTGTGTATGACAGGGTGGAGGCTTACACGAGCTCAATTCAGGACCTGCTAAATGTGTATCCCAGCATGGAAAACTTGGTAGAGTGCCAACCTCTGAAACAAGCATTCTCTGAGATTCTTGTCCAGCACTGCAAGCCTCTTCAGAACTTTGCCAAGATCACATGGGGAGGACTGGTGTTTCTTGCAGTCCTCATGCTGTTTCTGGTTCTGTCATGCGCCATGAGCCCTAAACCCCCTTCTAAAACAGCTGCCACTGGGACCAGCTCAACACATTCGCCATAACTCCAACCCAGATCTCACTTTGTAGGCAATTCCATTGGGAGGCAAATCTCCCTAGCTTGTACACAAAGCTTATGACTTTAGTTTTTGGCTATTTGGTGATAAATACACTACCAAATTTGCCTCCTTCACCACTTTATTTCCGGTTGAGTTCTGATGATAAAGCTAGGGAACCAACCCTAACCTGTACAGATACAAGAAAATTATCACACAGTAATATTAAATTTTCACCAACAGGCACGTTCTGTTTTCTATTTGCAATTGCTATTTATTGCCCCATCATGTTATTGCTACTGACAAACAGGGTCAATTGTTTACCTAGCCAAACTCACAAGGTTAGCCTGTAATCTTATATTATCTCACATCTTTGCATAATTGCAAAATTCTTTTTTCCCGTCAAACAAAACAATTAAGAAGGACATTACTTTAGTAAGATTTGTAAAGTTATCTCCCTTCAAACTTCTCGAATTAACTAACCTTCAAGACAACGAACAAGAAGAATTTCCTTCTTCTGTGGCATTATTGATGCCGTGTCAGTTTTCTATTGGAAGCGTGGAATCTGTGACCGAACCATCAATTCTACATGACCATTCGCCGATGAAGCGTCGAGGAAGACGCGGGGATTAGAAAGATGGAGCAGCCAAAGTCTCCAGGGACTGGGCCGGTTGACCTCAGAGATTGTATCGATCAGCTCTTGAAGTTCGTTCTCCAATCTCACATCGACGAAACTTTGGAATTGGATCTCGGGCTTTCCAGGGACTACTGCTGCAATCTCCTCAGAGAGGATTCTCGAGGTTCCGTCTCGCAAGTGCCCACGTAGTAACGTGAATGGAAATGCTTACTGTGAGTTTTATGTGACTCTTTTTCTTGCAGATCAAGGAGAAGGAGTTCCTCAGTCTCCCTTGTACAAGCGCCTTGCCTTACTTCTGCACGAGTTAATAACTTGTACGAAGTTGTGTGGGACGAATAGGACAGCATGGAGGGAAATGCTTGCGGACAAGGGTTCTGAACTTCTAGATGTATGCTTATCAATTTTAAACTGCCGAGCTAGTTTGTTTGAGTGACTAAGTCTTGCAATGTTGATTAAACTAAGGCATTATTCCAGGTTTTCAATGCTATCAACTTTGAACTTCATGTTCAGGAGCCTTTTTTTACACAATTAAAAGGTATTGTTATTACAGTGTTTAGCTCCTGATTGTGCAATTCATCCGTCCTCGCAGCTTCGAATGTGTATGCCCTCAACGCTCTATCTTTACACCGAATCCACCGTATAGGTTGGACTGCACTAGTTGCATGTCATGAATTTTCAGTCATTTCACCCCTAATAAATTGTCTTTGTAGGAAAACTGATCAGCTTCCTTGCATATAAGCACTGAAAATTGATCATCAGAAAGAAAGAACGTATTAAGACAAAATAAACCTAAAATGTTATACTGAGTGATAATCAATACTCATCATCAAAACTCGTTGACAACACACAGAATTTGAAGTTGATGATGAGAACTTTTTTCATCTTTATTATTTCTTTTTATTACCTATTATTATGGCAATAGTCTGAAAGCATCCAAGAATTTGTTGAAACATTATACTTGTTAAATTTGCTACTCTTCTTTATTGAAAGGATATATATATATATATATATATGATATCTTTCATCTGATCTCATCCAATTCGATTCTGTGCTTAACATAGCCTCTTTTTTCATTCATGTTCGTAGGTGGGTTGAAAACAATTGAAGGAAGGTGTGCTGCTGGAAATTACAAAAGGTAACATTTTTTTATGTGCTGATTTATTCTTCTTTTGATGTTGGTGTTGGTTTCTGGACTGATAACTGATCTCAATATTGGTAAAACATCATCAAAACTAATTATAGCAGGTCAAAAGGTTATATTGAGAGCAGAAAAGGCGAAATTTGTACGGAGACATCTCACTAATTACTGAGATCATCTTCTAAGAGTCATTACGGTTTCAAGAATGCATTCACATTTTTCTTATTGACCTTTGGTTCTTGTTTAGCCCCCCAGGCCCTCAATAACATGGAACTGTTCTTATTTCTTGCATGGCTTCTTTCCTCTGAACCACAGGATTGCGGCAGGATCTTTAATTCTTTTCAACAAATGTTTGGTGCTTGAGGTTGAGGTAGAATAGAAATCTGACATTTGAAATTTACAGAAATTTACGCACGATTTCTGGTAATTTTCTTTTTCATTGTTAACATTTTGAAAGAATAACAGGATGTTCATTCTTATAACTCATTTTCTGAGATGCTACTAGCAGAGGGTCTCCAAAAGGTCCTTCCTGGAGTCAGAACAGCTGAAGAAGGTAGCAAGCTTAACTTGCCCTTGTGATTGGAGTGTGTTTACCTATAACTGGCATTTAATCATATCATGTTACCAAAGTCACGCCTGAATTCCCTCAATGGAATGGTTACAACTGGCAATAATCTGTGGCTATGTGCCCACAGAGCCAAGAGTCCATATATCTCGGTACTATTGTCGATTTGTCGCAAAGAATTTGAACTTTAAGTGGCTAAAATGGGATATTTCAAGAAACCAGTTAAGACCATTCATTAGATAATACAATTTGATTTTTTTAATCATCAGTTAAGGTATTTGTTTAATCACGAAGTAAAGGATAATGTCCTATCTAGTATTTGGGGAGGTAGCATCCGTTGCAGTGTTAGAGATTATTACATATGGAACCGCGTGCATGCAGCAGTTGACTGGGTTTTCAGGTGTAAGTGTTTACAGGAAGTTTTACACAGAAGAGAAGGAGAGATCCAATGGCGTGGCAGCAATTTGTGTGACAAAACCAGCTTCCCAGCCGCACAATATATTGGCTTCAATAATATCTGTAAGCCTTCTTACTATAATTGTTATCAGTTTTCTGCTTATGCTGTGGCAATGAAGCCAACACTAACATGTGTGCGTGCGTGTTCGCTAATGAGACAGAAATTAAGCTACAGCGGCATTGAAAGCATCTTGAGTAGCAACACCCATGCAGCCCTTACATGATAGACTCAGCTCTTTATTAGCGGAAAAAATAATCGAAACATTTCGGGATCAAATCGACACAATAAATTGCAGATATCAGTGTACTTCTATTGAACTAAAACTATTGAATATGATTTTAGTTCCCCGGTTCCTTCCTTTTCTAAAGGGAAAAAGTTAATTTGACACCACTTTTTTGTTACCTGTTGCAAAGCCATCTTTTCTGAAACACAACGTGATAACTGATAAGATATGTACCAACGGCTTTTTCTTGGGCCCTGGACCCTTTAATTTTCATATCTTTCGTTCAAGAAAGGGGGGGGGGGGAGAACGGTCAAGAAAACAACGGAAAGACCGTACTTTAATAAGGAATCAGAAATTGGAGTTAGAAGAAAGAGAGGGTGAAGTCCCTGAACACGCTGTGAAGAAGTAGAAGCACTTGACCCGTTGCTTTTGGTATTCAATTCAAGAATCCGCCATTCGCACGCGTCCGTGTCAATGGGGTATTGATTGCCTCTACATATCACCATCGCAAAGGTTACCTTGGACTCTCCGAAATCAGCCCAGGTATTCATTCAACGTCTTCCTGACGTGAATGAGGTTGTCGTGCCTCTTATGTATTGCACAGAGGGGTGTGAATGATCAGGAGACGAAAGTCAATGTATGTATGTATGTGCTCTTAATCTTGAATGAAGGTGACGCAGGAAGTGTGGCTGAGTATTTCCTCAGATCAAGAAATGTTTGCTGCTTAATGAGAATGGTAGTTTAGCCCAGTGTCATCTACTCTCAACAATCATCAAAAGCATCAAAAATTTCATCATGAAAACTGAAATGTTACTCTGAAATATGTCTATAAAGAAGTAAATATCTTCTAACTCACAAAACTTCAAGCGAATATTTTAATATTACTTTATTTGATGATGCTTCCATAAATTGTAAAAATATTTTAACTTTTAACATAACCTGATTTTAATTCTTTTACATGATTTTTTATCGTGGCCTTATATTAAAAAAAAATGTTTGCTGCTGAAGCGTAACGAGGGAGAAGGGGGGGGAGATGAGAAATGAAGTTAAAAAAAAAAAGAAAAAGAAAGGGAAAGAGGCATATTATGATTGGATTTATGGAAGGCAAGGTGGCGGCATGTTAAGTCAGAGTGTGCCCAAAGTGGAGCTTCGCTTTTTGCAATCCTTTGAAATTAATCCTGCATCCCTCTCTCCCTTTCAATGCTTCCATCTCAAGTTATTAGACTTTCACTTCCCCATTCGGTCTTCCGTCTAATCGTCTCACTGCCATTTTCAGTTTTCTTCGATCAAAAAATCCTTGATATTTTGATGGTCTATTAAAGCACTTAATTAGTTTGTGCGATCATATGCAAGAATGGCCAACACAGTTCCGACGTAATGTAAGAATTGAGCTAATAAATAGTGTGTATTATTTCAAAATCGAGACACACACACACACAGGTGAGATGAGTGAGTGACGGAATTATATGATCAATATTACGTATGTGTGGGGGTTAGTGGGATTTAACGTTTGATGTTGATGAATGAGCAGTGGGAAAAAGGATGAGGCCTAGGGGATCGATCGACACAAGCTTGCAAAAGGATGGGCCACCACACATATGAAAAGGGCCTTTTGATTTAAATAATGAAGAAACTGATAAGCCTTTGTCCAATCATTGGATTCCATGTTGGCACCACCCTCTTCTCTCTTCCATTGTCTTCTCGTTCTTTCACCTTCCACGAATCCTTCCCTCTTCGATACCCCCTGCCTTGTTCTGTTTCTTTCTCAACACACATAGCAGACGGGGACGCCCAGGTATCATAATACAAGAATATATATATATATATATATATATATTAATTAGGAAGCGAGCACGGAGTATGCATTGTATTCGAGAGATTTTAGCAGGCGAGTTTTGATTAAAAAAACGAAAACGTCGTGTTACTGTAAATACAATTATAGTGTTTATCGATTGCATTATTATGGGCTTTATCATCTTCTCTTTGTCTGCACTTGCCGAAGAAATATGTTGTTTGTTATCTTGCTCTTAGAATGATTGTAGTTGCCATCCGCTGCCTAACGATTCTACATATATTTTACGTGTGGGAATTTTTGTTCTATCCCTTTGATCTCCTTCCTCTTCCCATTTTAGTATCGCACATTACAATCACAAGGATCGCTTTCATTCTCAATTATTAGTAACTTATTCCTAACTATATAACCAGCCTAATTATAATTTATAAATTAACAACACTGTCAACTAAGTTTTATAGTTTACTTTAATTAGCATTTCTCTCTTTAAATTACATTCATGTCATCTATTGTAAAGGAAAAACAGATTTTCTCTGTTGAAATTAAATTTTATACATGCATCAACATTTAGAATGAATTATTCATTCCTGTCGAAAGAAAAATAATGAAAATATAATATAAAATTGTAATCCAAAATAAAAACTTCTAGCTGTAACGACCATTATGTTTTATACCAATTTGAAGTTTGAACCCAACGTTGACTAGCTAATGGATGATCTTATGTTGGATGATCCTTTATCTCACTCGTGCGCCCGTGTGCCAATACGAACTAGTAAGTATAAAGAGTTCACCCGTATAAGCGGGCTAAAAGGTGTAACGAAAATCCTACACTAGAATTGTGGTTTTCGTTAAGCAGCTGTGATCGATCCAATGCGCCGCGAAACAATGGGTTAATTAATCAGCAGCAAGAGAATACGGGATTAATCAGATATTAAACCATCATTTACCGGAATCCCTATTATAGATTATAGATTATTTTTTAAAAAAAATTGATATTTATTCTATCTAGAACACAATTATTAAGATAATTTTTAATCTAAGAAATAATGATGGCTTAAGTAAGAAATTAAAACCAGACTAAACCTGATAAATGCGCAGTAGTTACGCGTGACTATATCCATCTATAGATATACAGAAGAGAGGTAGAGAAATCAATGATCATGCAGTCGTGACCGATCACAGCGCCAGAATTCAAAAAGTACGTCGTCATTGCAAATGCTTTTAGGCATTCATATTTCTTTTTCAATTTCCACCCTACGGACCTTTCATTTAAGAGAGGCCACGTCCCGTCTATTATTGGGGTATTATATGCGCGCGCGCGCGCGCTTCTGGGTGTCAGAATTTTTCGCAGGCTAGCTGCAAGGAACACATAAACACTGTATTTAACTAATTAATTAATCAATCACGTACATATTTATATCCTCCTGAAATAATATAATAACAGATGCAAGCGACATGGCCAACAAATTAAAGAGCAACAGCGGTGTTAATTTGAAAAGGACCGTACCCCTACAAAATTCAATCAATACAATATAACATGGCTGCCAAACGATACTCTGTGGTTAATTTTGTATTTGGACATCATTTCATTAGTTTCTTATATCTCCCCCGGGGGGGTTGGGGGGGGGGATCGTATTCCTGATCGATGACATGAAGACATGCTCGATCCCATCCATACAGTACAACACATATATATGACATGAATTTTTTTGGCCGCGAGGATCATCATCATCAGGACCTTAATATTAATAGTGATGACATGCACAGCAACAACCACACTTCCACCAGCCGTTCCTCCGACTCCGGTGAACCTTCCCACGACTCCAGATGGGCCCCTAAGCTCCTCAGAGACTGTGCCAGAGCCATCTCTGACGGTGACTCCCCAAGAATCCACCATCTCCTCTGGATGCTCAACGAGCTCGCCTCCCCTTACGGCGACTGCGATCAGAAACTTGCCTCCTACTTCCTCCAAGCCCTTTTCTGCAAAGCCACCGAGTCCGGTCAGCGATGCTACAAGACTCTCGCCTCCATCGCCGACAAGTCCCACTCCTTCGATTCCGCCAGAAAGCTGATCCTCAAGTTTCAGGAGGTCAGCCCCTGGACGACCTTCGGCCACGTGGCTTCCAACGGCGCAATTCTGGAAGCTCTGGAGGGAGAGACCAAGCTCCACATAATCGACATAAGCAACACTCTGTGCACGCAGTGGCCCACCCTGCTGGAAGCCCTCGCCACCCGAAACGACGAGACGCCGCACCTGAAACTCACCGTCGTTCTGACAGGGGGGAGCGGAAGCACGGGGGCGGGTTCGGTGATGAAGGAAGTGAGGCAGAGGATGGAGAAGTTCGCGAGGCTAATGGGGGTTCCGTTTGAGTTGAAGGTGATGAGCGGTTTGAATCACCTGGGAGAGCTGACCAGGGATGGGCTGGGGGTGCATGAGGACGAGGCCGTCGCCGTGAACTGTGTAGGCGCGTTGAGAAGAGTGAGAGCGGAGGAGAGAGGAGGCGTGATTGCCATGTTCAGATCGCTGAATCCACGGGTGGTGACGGTGGTGGAGGAGGAGGCAGATTTTTTGAGCAACAGGGACGACTTCGTGGAGGCCTTCGAAGAGTGCCTGAGGTTCTTCTCGCTTTACTTCGAGATGCTGGAGGAAAGCTTCGGGGCGACCAGTAACGAGAGACTGATGCTGGAGAGGGAGTGTTCGAGGAACATCGTTAGGGTTTTGGCGTGCGGGGTCGATGAGGAGGAGGAGGCCGAGAGGAGCGAGAGAGGGAGGCAGTGGAGCCAGAGGCTGAAGCAAGAGTTTCGACCCTTGGCCTTCAGCGACGACGTTTTGGACGACGTGAAGGCATTGCTCAGGAGGTATAGACCGGGATGGTCGTTGGCGGTGCCTTCACCGGATGACGTTTTCTCCTCTGGAATCTACTTGAACTGGAAGGACGAGCCTGTGATTTGGGCTTCCTCATGGAAACCCTAGCTACCTATCGATCATATTAGTATTCATTTCTGCGTACAGCTACATCGATCCACATATCTGATTTTTGTTTTATAAAACATGCAAGAATTGCTGGCTATTATACCCGGCGGGCGGCGGCTAAGCGAGCCTCATGTCCAAAAAAGAGTGGGGGGGGGGGAAAGATTCAGGCGTACATGCATGATTACGATCAAGAATTGAATGTCCCCATATTGCTCAATTAATTACTGTGTGTGTAGTAGCTAAAGATATAAAAGCAGGCAAAGAGGTCGTAAACTCATAATGATGGATGGATGATCCAACAATCTGGACTTTTCTTTTAACCTTTCTTTTCCGAATTTTGCAAACTTTGTAATCTTTCTGCCGCCCATCTTCTCTCCGTGAGACTCTTTTTGCTTGGGAGTTTGTGTTGTTAGGTCTCTTTTCACCTTTATCGTAAGTCCGTTAATTGCATTATATTGCTCCCTTGTTAGAAGGTGCTTGAACCTGTCACGATTCTTTTTATGATTTCCATGGCTCCCTCATCGTTTCCTTTTCTTTCCATCTTTCTTAATCCGCGGTACCTCTCATCGCATATATTTTATGAAGTGATCGATCTTATAAATGGCCCCCGTCGTGCTCGCGTGGTTACTGCTTCGGCATGATTTATCATAATAATTTATTATTCTCCCGCTTTCTTTCATCCAAGTAGTGAGCTCCGTACACATCTTAATTTCTTGCATCACTTTAATTTCTCTTTCCAAATTGTCAGTCATTATTAAATTATCAAATGGACTGCCAGTCTCATTCTGTTCTATTGTACTCGTCTACTTTTTTCAATCTGATTTTCTAATTACACTGACGTATATACGTGCGTGTCAAAAATGATCGAGGGAGAGCTTTATAAAAATGTAGTTACATAAAATATCTCTATTCCCCGTCTCATTTAATTAATTAGGATACATCCTGTTTATGGGTGCATGGATGAGAGAAATAAAACAATTAGAGAAAAAAGTAGAAGGAATAAGAAGAAGAAGAAGGTGGTGGTGAGGTGAAAGGAAAAGAATCAAAAAGGGGGAGGGGCAGGGGGAGGGGGAACAGGGGGTGGTTGGGGCAAGTTGGTGGAAAAGGGAGATCTCAGTGGGAAACATGAAGGGGTACGTGTTGTGCTGATTTTTGCAGCAATGCAGGGCCACCCTGACCCTGCCACCCTCGTTTGTTTGCTTTGGTTGCTTGTCTGCAGTCATGATTACATGGGCACGAGATGAGGAGGGAGAACTGAGAAGCAAGGGCAGGGCAGGGTCCTCGTGGATGGGCTTCGGCCCATTCAATGCTCTTGGCCTTTCTTGGATCCACCTTCTTCTTCAATTCCAAACGCCTTTTCAGCTGTAGAGGAGCAACCTCTTCGTGAATCCATGTCTCTTCCCGTCGCCATTCCTCCCCCAGAGTCCCAGCCCTCCATTGATTATGAACCCAAGACTTTGTTGGATATTATAGAATATCTTTAATATTTCAAAATAAGTTGCTATCAATTATATTAATATCAATTACCATAACCCTCTACTTAAATATATTTATTTAACCTTTTTTATTTTTTGTAACCATTTTTTAATTGTTATTAAGATGATTTTATTATCCAACATTATGAGATCTACCTATAAAAGATAATGCTTGCCACAGGTTCAAAGAGAGCTTTGGTACTCTCAAACTTGCTCTCCTCTTCTATCATTCATTGTTGAGTTGCCTGAGTATATTTTGTGAATTTCTATTGTTCTATATCCTTACTTTTAGTAGGAAGAATCTGTTTAATCCTAAAGAGCTGTTGTGCAATTAACTCGATGTGATGAAATAGCTCTTAAGGACAATGTCTTTAGGCACGACTCGGACTATATTTTGCCTACTAGTGCCAATAATCTTAAGAGTTATTTCCAGCATGTTGGTCTTGTTTAGTTGCACTAAACTTGGTGGGTTTGAACCCAACAAAGGTGTGTGGCGAGGCAATGAGTTTCGATAATGTTTATGAATATTATTAGGTGTTGGGGCACATGCATGTGTGTATATATTGAAATAGGCAATGGTGAATATGAATACCAATAATGTCAAATTTACCCTAAAATTTAGACTCATTTGAAACCTCATAGGCATATCATTTTAGATGAAAAGTCTCAAGATGAATGCCATAATGGCAGTGATAGAACTTAGAGAGAATAAAGCTCTTGATGGAGGGATAGCATGAGCATTGAGTTTAACTCACATTGATAGTTAGGCACACCCATCCAATGTGGTGATTCAAATCAATGGCACGCCCAAATGAAAAGATAAATGCATGTGCTATTGTTGATGAACGTGTTTTCAGAGACTATTTTATCATTCACACATCTTGGTTTTCTGCCTTAGGTATGCATGCATACTTCTTCAGGCCTATAATTTTATGGATATATGGGTGCTAAAGTAAGGGAGGAATTGTATGCATGCATGCATGCTTATAATAGTGCAGTTTGTTGGTTTAGGTAAAAAGAAAATGAATTCCTATCGGAAAATGTCTAATTTTCTTACTCTATGATCCATTTGGCTAAATGGAATAAGGGTAAAATGGTTAGAATTTTTGGGTATTGGAATGCGAAATTGAAAAAAAAAACTCCATGATATTTTGTAAGCTTAGTTCTTCTTAAAGAAAATCGCTCACTCCCATATAGGGGATGAATAAAGCAATCAAAGAGACGTTTTAAGTTTTAACATGAGTTATTTTGCTAAGAATGGTTTGTTTTAATTTGTGAGGCTATTAATATATATTGATAACGGTCTAAATATTTATGCAAATTGATTTGAAATTCAGATAGTATTCAAGATTAAAACGTTCCTGCATCAACCATGGTTTGAAGTGATGGTTTTACATTAAGTTGCTCTCTAATTATTTGTTTAAAACATAAAAGGTGCCTTTTATGTAACAGCACAACCCCTAGCCACTTACGCTGGCGAATGCGGTGCTGGCACGTGTCCCCTCACGGACCCACGTGCAACTTTTTCCATAGTAGTACATAGGTTATTTCTTACCCTACCAAATTGTTGATTATGTGAGCTAGAGTTTGTTATTTTGAAGTTGGCTAATAATGAGGTTGAGTAGTTAAGAGACTTCTCAATGAATATTCTCATATGAGTAAAATCAATGTATTATATGTTGATGATTTGTGATTGCCAAATGGTAATAGCTATTCGAAAGAGAATAATGGCACTGAAAGATATCATTTGAGATACAATTAAGCATGCTGAAGGAGAGAGTTATTTCAATCGATTATGTAAGATTAGATGTAAATTTGATGGATCTATTAACTAGCCCCTGGTGAAGAAATTAAGTATTAAAATGTTGAGGGAAATGGGACTAAAGCCAATTTAAAATTAACAGTGATGGTAACCCAACCTTTGTAATTGGAGATCGCATAGAGAAGGTTCAATGGATAAGAACAAGTCATTTATTAGTTCTACTAGCACTAAATTTTATGTCCCTTCTTATGGCTTAAGAAAGTATTAAAATGTATTGATTGAAGGCTAAGCGAAAGCTCTTAATATTTTTTATAGTTCTTATAGATGGTGTATTCATTACAGATACACTTGATGAAAATACCTATAAGAATATGGAGTGGGGCCACTCCTATGAGATTGTGGCAAAATCTTTAGAGCATTTATTAAAACCAAGCACACGCATGGCCAATAACATGCAAAACTGCATTAGTAATGGAAATTGTGGGGGGTATAATCTGACTAATAAGACCTCTAGTACGTAACCAAGATCAGTTGATTCAATAACAAAGTTACACTGACTTTTTTATGTGCTAAGTTATATTGGTCTAGGTTTGGTTCAAGTCGAAAGACACTAAATTCGAAGTGATTATCTTTCGTGTGAATAACTCAAATGATAATGGTCCTTTTGACACATGTGAAGGATTGTTGCAATTGTCTCAAAAAGAAAAGTCTTATATTGCTCAAATGAATGGAGGCCTTAATATATGTATACTAAGGTATGAGCTTGGGCAAGTAAATGGGCTTAGAGGAAAAGTGGGCTCATGCAAATGCAATTACTCAAACATGAGCAAAATGTAGTATCAAACAAACTAGGCATTTTTTTTAAAGTTTTGAAAACTATTATATGGAATTACAAATTATTTGTATAAAATAGTTTTCAAGAAAAAAAAATTCTTTTGAAATATGTAGGAGATTGTTGGATATTATAGAATATCTTAAGCATTTCAAAAGGAGTTACTGTGAATTATATTAACTTTAATTACCATAACCCCCTACTTAAATATATTTATTTAACCTTTTTATTTTTTGTAATTGTCTTTTAATTATTATTAAAGTAGTTTTATTGCCCAGCATTATGAGATCTGCTTATAAAAGACAGTGCTTGCCATAGGTTCAAAGAGAGCTTCGGTACTTTCAAACTTCCTTTCATCTTTTATCATTCATTGTTGAGTTGCTTGAGTATATTTTGTGAATTTTATTATTCTGTGTCCCTACTTTTAGTAGGAAGAATCTGTTTAATCCTAGAGAGTTATCGCACGATCAACTCAGTGTGGCAGAATAACTTTTAAGAATAGTGTCCTTGGATACAATTCAAATTATATTTTACTTTCTGGTGCCAATAGACCTTGTTCAACCATGCATGGTTTAAGAAGATGAAGTCAAAACCACATGCCCAGCTAACTGGTTCTTTTAACATGAACTTTGCACATTAAGAGTGCAGTGTGTTTAGCATGTGCTTTTTGAAAATCATGATGGGGTGCACCCTAGTCTTCCAATTTCCCTTGCATCTCCTCGCCATTTATACTTTCCACATAAATACCTCCCCACTCTTCCTATAAATTTTAATTATTTTTAGGGACCTCAAATACTGGACTAGTTAGTTATAAGAACCTGCGAGTTCTTTCTTTCATGCTCATGTCATGCAATTATACTCTTGTTTCTATTTAACAATCACTCACTTTTGCTCCCTTTATGTGGGTTTATACATTTAACAACGAGCATTGGATGTATTTGGCATGTAGCATGGAAATCCGGGTTATCTTGTTACCTCGCCCAATTGAAACACTAAACCTTTAAATCAGTGTCATGATTAGTTTAATAAAGTAATTCCTCTGTCCTTATATATAAAGTGTTCTTAATTAAATATTGTATATCAAT